AGGAATTTGCCAAATAAGGTGTAAGCAGTACCAAATCTTTTTAAAACCAAAATTTTATGGTAATAAAACCCAGAAATGTGCCAAGTACTAACCCCAGACCCTGGCCTGTTTAATAAATCTCTATCCTACAAAGCTATATACTTAAAGGATTGCTTCTTACATTAATAATAACTTAAAGGGCAGACACTACTCACCTGCCAAGAAATGATCTTTCAGGTTTTCTGTCTTCCGTAACATCTGCATGGTATGAAAGGGCACAGCACTGGACCATTCTGGTCACTCCTGGCCTCTATCACCGACTGGTGTGATCCGGAGCAAGCTGTCTTCTCCAGTCCTCCGTAAAATGCATTGTCTATATAATCCCCAGTACTCTTTCTAGTTCTAAAACTCTCCTACCACACAAAATTTACAGCCATATGTGATAATGGTGTGAGGAAGAAATATTACACATTAATTAGGTACCTTCAACACCCGAAATAGCATATTAAGTACCATAATTATCATCTATTGGCTCCTTGGGGGAAATGAATCACACATTGTATGGGTATCCTTCTAATGCCAAGATAATAGCCACATTTCCACTGTGAAGGAAATGAAAGACTAACTTAAAAACGTTGTCATGAAGTCCCACAGTATATACCATTTTCAAAGGTCCATCTACTCCTAGCAAATGTCAATTTCTCAGGGGTTTCAAGCATATTCCAACCTGACCTGTATCAACAATTGTGAATATGACTTAGTTTTATATATCACCTTCATTAATTTAATGAAGTAACATAGGGAAAGAGGCCAACTATTGTTTTGATAGGTTTCTGCAAAATCTGTGGCCTATCCCTTTGACCTTTATTCAGTGCTGTCTACTACTCTGAACTTCAAACTGGTAGCCACAACAGAACTAAACAAATTGGTATAGAGCTTATATCCAGCAGAGTAGGCAAACCTGGTAGCACATGGAAGGGCTACTCAGCCCAGATTTCTGGGGAGGCCCCCAGAAGTGACACCTACACTGAGATGTGAAAGGTGAGCAGGAAGTGTGTGAGACCATGTGTCACATGCTCTGTACTCTGGGCTTACCTAGGTCATTGCCTTTGGCTGGCTGGGGCCCTCCCTTCTGGACTACCTGCACACCCTTAGGGGTCTTTTCATATGGTGACCATATGTCCTGGTATGCTCTGGATACTCCCAGTTTATCTATGGTTCTGGTGTAACTATTAATAGTGCCCCTTTACACTCTGAAATACAATCTGGTTAGGATGATCAATTATAGTTTACTGCTTCTGGAAGTCCTTATCTTATATATTTGGCTCCCTCATATGACTCAGTTTGCTGAGGGCCTGGACTTCATCTTATTCACCTTTGTGTCCATGACATGGGCTCTATTTCATTCACCTTTGTATCCATGACATTGTTTTGTGTTTGATCATATACAGAATGAGCACCACAGCTTTTCAATACAATCTTTGAAACTAGAATGAAAAGCAAATGCAGAAGACAACACATTCAATTAGTGAGTCTTTACATCATGTTGGAATCCTGATTCCATCTTTATCTAGATGTGTGAAAGCCAACAGTTTCTGATTCTTATTTGTTCACCTGAAAATGGTAGTTAAGACTACCTTATTCATAGGGATGAAGAGGTTCAAATGAGATAGGACAGGTAACATGCCTCAGCACATACTTTATACAACTGAGTACTCTTATTAACAGCAGCTTCTGTGGACAATAATTACTCTTCCTGCTCCACACCGATATGCTGTAAGAAAACAAAACAAACCCACCTAACAAGCATCCAGTAGGACTTCGAAAGAGTGCACTTGATGGATGCTTAGTTTTACGCTAGGAGCGGGCTGCAAGCCACATTCCCAGATTACAAGATGCATTAATCAAAATCACAATTTAGAAGTCAAAAATTGACTCCAACTCGTTTTTTTAAAACCTCTTTATATCTGTAAGAGTCCAAATCACAGAAAAACCCGATCTTGCTGCATCCTAGATGTTAATTAATAGCACTTAAGCTTCACCTTTCTTATAATTATACTCTTAAAAGTTAATCATCTAAATATGCCAACATGGATACTTGGGTCTATCTCCTCTTTTTGAACTGTCAGCCTCTCAAGTTTTGTGATTAATGTATATAAAGCAAAGTAGAAAGGCCTCAGATTGAGTCAACAGTAGTTTTCTTGATCCCCCAATTACAATGTCCTCTTTTGCACTACATCCTTGTTAAACATTTGGAATGAATTAAGAGTTTAAACTTCCAGATGTTTAAACTACTACTGTAAATGTAAGCTCATTAAAAAGGGACAGATTTACTACCTCTACTTAGTTTTGAAGTATGCTGTTCACTCTATTCAAATAATTTATGGAACCAAATACAGTGGCAGGTAGTGTATTCTATTTATATAGTATTCATGGTGAGAAATAAAGGACATTTAAAAAGGCCTGGAAATCCACTGCCACTTAAGCCAACTTACAGACACGCTTATTGTTGTTTCTAAGCTAGTAATTGTTTCCTGAAACTGATCTAGTAGATATTTTTATATTAATCTGTACTAAAAATTACTTTGCTTCTTCTGGCTACCAAAAGCTGGCTGCAGAACATTTGATCATATCAAAAAGACAGCTGCACCCACTTGCATGAAATAAATGGACCTGGATCTACAGTCCTTTGTGGTAGTGTCTTGGCAGTCAAACAAAGGTGGCAGCATTTCTACAGCCAGTTTGTAAAGTTTCGGGATCCAAGGTTTGTCTTTTTTTTCTTCTGCAAGGAACTCACGTCAACTATAATGAGTGTATTTTAGATGCTACACTGAAAGCTGGCAATGGATAAAGCAAGAACATAAAAGAAGTCAATTCCCAAAGCAAATATTTCTTTTACAAACCTTAAGTATGAAGTGGCTTTCACAATCAATTTTAAGATTGAAGGCCTGTATTGAAGTATCTGGCTCTGGCACACACTACCTATATAATTGGAGGCAATTAATTTACCTCTGTGAGCACGATTTTTCAGCTGAAAATGGGGTAATACTTGCCTGAGTTTTTCTGAGAACCTGAATAAGATAATCAAGGTGCTTTGTAAACTTTCTAAAATATATAACTATTAATAAACACTGCAAGTACCATTTTCCTGTGTTATGGATTACTCACTTTAAACAGCACTTTAAAAAGTGACTGCCCTAAAATGAAACAAAAATAAATCAGATTCAGCTAAGTTACTACAGAAGAGCTGGCCTCCAGAAGAACATTTCTTCAACTCAAATTACTTATCCCACTAGAATTAACCCTAGAATTAACTGAAAATTACATAAAATTATTATTAAAGATTTGTTCTATTTTATAGGTACCATATCCTTTGCCTACATCCTTCAAGTAAGAACAAATTCCTCTAAGTATGCTGTCTTAACTATAGTTTCCAGTACATTTTGCAAACTGTTTAGATGTGACACAGAATGTTTTAAAAACTGCATAAGGCTTTCATGGACAGTTTTCCTTTCCTTTGATTTTGATGAATCTGTGGGCCACTTCTCAGTTATATGCTCTTCTGAGTTAGAGAGTGCATCTAGAATTGCCAACACTTAATAGAGAAGTCTGGCAAATAGCAAGCATTCAACTAACACTTGTTAATGAACAGTCATCTCTACTACCAGTTTCCAACTATCTAATCTTGCAAAAGACAATCTCTGTTTCATCTGTGAGTACTACTGAAACTACCATCAAGGCTCAGGTTGTGAAAATGTCTTTTAACAAATTAAAAGCAGTTAACGTTTCAACAGATTCCCAAACTAGAAAATATACATAGGTTCTAAACAAATGATGGGCACCTTAAAGGCTTAACTAATACCAGTTGAATGTTTTCTGATACCTGATTGTGGTAGACTGAACACAAGGTCACATTTCATAGACTCTTTCATCAAAGAGAGTCCATTTTCTCATCTCTTGAATCTAGGCTAGCCAAGCAACTTGCTTTGACCAAGTGTGTGGTGAAGTGATGTTCTGGTGAGTTCTTAAGCCCGGGTATTGCAGGTATTGTCTGTGACTTGTTGGTGCTCTAGCATCACCATGATACAAGACCAAGATAGAAGACCATAAAGAGAGGCCCAGTCACGCCACCCACACTCCCAGCCAATCTGTCTGCCAAATGCAGAAAACACAGGTGAGACTAATAAAAAAATTAGCTAACCAACCCACAAAACTGAAAGAAATGATAAACTGTTTAGGCCAGTAAGTTTGGAGGTATTATTCTAAGAGGTTACTGATGATAAATTACCTAACCCTCAGAGCACAACTTTAAGGTAGGTTATACAGTTGAAACCAAGTGGAGTTAAGTAATCTGGTAGGGACACACTATTTTCAAGTGCCTCTAACAACTGTAGAAAGTATTAATGGACTAGCTCTGTCTCATTCACTGTTATACTGCCATCATGAACTTGATCAGTTATTTCTGCCAAGGATAAGAGGGTTCCATTATCTTTTTTAAAAAACTCTCCATGGGTAATGTGTTCTGAACCAACCTATGCACTGGACTTCCCCTCACAGAGCAGTACACTGTGGGCTATCATTAAGACTTAGGGCTCCAGCAAACGCATCTTTTGCTTTCTGAAGCTCAAATGACACTCCAACATAAAACAATCTAATGGCATCTCTGCAATTAATTCTTTTACATTTTTAACCAACAACAACATAAACCCTGACAACTTACATCATAAGCCATGTAGTACAGTATATATTACTTAAAAAAAGTTAGGTAAGGCATGCATTTAGCCATTTCTTAATTTAAATACCTTTTCTTATACCTCAAGTAGTAAACCACATACCAAAAAAAAAAATATCCCCCCCAAAACCCATAAAAGATGAAGTTATCTTGAATTGTGAAGATTGTAAAACTGACTGCCAAATGAAAATTTAAGAGAATTTACTGCTAGAATGTTTTGGCTCCACTAAAAATAAATGTACTTCAACTTTAAACAAAATTCACATTTTATTTAGATTGAAATAAACTATACAAAATTTTCTTCACCAAAAATAACAGCAATATTTTCTGTATTATTTCTAGATAAACCACAAAACATTCATTTTGTAGGTTTTCCAGGTTTTGCTTATAAATCAAGATGAGGCAGTAGATAGAGTCATGGAAAAAGAAGAAAACAGACAAGTCAGTTGCCTGTATGATGGCCTCTGATTCCATATTGACCATGAAGTGGAAGTGTTCAACATTTACCTGCTGAGAAGCTTATAAAGATGTAGGCTCAACAAAGGAATGTAAACAACAGATGTGGAATACAATGGTAAGCTCTTCCATTCCAACTTTAACTGTAACCTCTTCTTTTAAGTTCATTTAATAAAGACAAAATCTACACTGAAATCTGGTCAGCTCATAAACTTCTCTCTAGTGATTCCCTTAACTGTCCATTACAGATTTTTAATAACACACTTAAAACTCCTACTAATCACAGGTCAATGATGGGCTTCACCATAACGTTTTATAAAATGCATTATTTTCTCCCACATCACCTCAAAATTCATTTTTTCAAAAAGTGACAACTCAGTACCCGAAAGGGGATCCACAGTGACACAGTGTGCTGTCTAAAATGACTTAACTGAAACAATTCCATAGCGCCACCAGCAGAGGTCACGCCGAAGTGGAGCATGGCACTTCCAATGCTATCTTCTAGAAAATGAACAGGTCTCAGAAGCATGAGAGTTCAGAGTGGCCATTTAAATATGGAGATTATCAATGGCTAATATATTCAATGACAGGTCTATAGGCTACCATATTCAGTGATAAGGTAACCTACACATCCCTTACGGCTTTTCTTACAAATAGCAAATATAAGAGAAAGCCTATTTTAAGTCTCTTAGTTATTTTCAACCGTTTCTGAATTATCTGTAGGAAGCTCTGATTTAGTTGTATACAATTTGATATATGTGTCCACCATTAAATCCAGATCATGTTTTATATCAAAATTTATGTTAAGCAAAGCCAAATTACTTGACCTTTGGTCTGTCAAAGTGTTCCTCAAGTATGCTTTGAGATGCTTTCGTCCATTTTCATAGTGTTCATTCTCAACTTTCATCACAGGAAGAATACACAGGACTTTCAGCAAGGCATACACATTAGGAGAAAACTTGATGTCAGGCAAATGGAGGGCTTCATAAATGGTAGATGGAAGCTCTATGTCTTTCCCTCTGTGTTTCCATTTGATTCTCCAACAATGAAGCTCAGCTGAGAGTGTGTCAGGATTGGGTAAGTCACTTCTGTACATGTCAGCATGATGCTCCTCTGATGTATTGAATTTGAGCTGTCCCATGACTGAGGGTACCAAAGACAAGCATTTAAGAGCTTTGAGATGCTGTTCTGAGAATATATCTTTAAGTTCCTGAATAATGTGCTCCACTGTTGGGACACTTAAGGTTTCTTTATAGTAACTCTCAGAGGTTAACTGAGATTCTAGGTTGCCTTGCTGAGCCCTACGAAATTTGCCAGGGAGTTTCATTTGAACATCAAGTTTGGTTGCCAAATTTGTGGCTTCCTCAAACCAAAACTCATGATAAACTTCAATATTTTCCATTACTTCATTGAGTGAGTGTAGGACAGCAGTCAAGCTACTGGCTGCAAAAAAGACATCCGAAGTTTGTCCCTGGAGATTTTTCCCAAAGGCCCTTGTAAAAGATAAGACATTTTTAAGAACAACAATGGTAACAATAAAATCAAAATCTGTCACTGCACTACAGAGTACAAACGCTCGGCCAGCTATATAGTTATTCCATCTAATATTTGTGTCACTATTTATACCATCTAAACATAAAACAAGTGCTTGCAGGAGGTCCACTAAAACTTCAAAAGCATCGTGCCTGCCTGTCCACTGAGAATGACATATTTCCTTCAGTTCTTTACCCCTTTCTTCACTGTTCTGAAAAAGAACAGAAATTATACTGTCAAGTTCTAAAAGTAGTTGTGGTGATCGATGGAAAAAAGAACAAACTTCCTCAATTGTTCCTAACGCAACTGATACCCCTACCACAGGCACTGATTTTGCCAACCACATGTTTAAGGCACAGGAAGAGCAGAGTGTGTAGATAGCCTGGGGATATTTCTCTAAAAGTCTAGAAGCAACAACTTTCATTTTAGAAGAAAATCCACTGGACACAATATAAGCCTGGCCACGACAATACTCCATATTCAGTCCCCACTTCTCAGTTATTGTAGTGTGAAATTTAACAGCCAAAATTTCTGCATCAGCTTCATAAGGCAAGAAGCCCACAAACTCTTCTCTTAGATTATGAGATTCATCAACAAACCTCACCAAGACAGGTAAGTGTTCTTCACCTGCTATGTCCACCACATCATCAGTAATAATGGAAAAGAAGTGTGAGTCTCTCACTTCCCTGAGGGTTTCTTCCCGAATACAGCTCTCACAGATCTCTAGCATCTGTTTCTGCTGCGTTTTAGAACAAAACAATGTGTTAACAGCTGTGGTCTCAAAGCGCTTTCTCAGAACCTCTTCACCAGAATTTATCCGGCACTCTAGCAATGCTTGAAAGTTATCAGGCGTAAAAAGACCTTCCGGAATTTCGTCAGTCTCATGCCCATCCAAAGGTATGTTTTGTTTTCCCATAAGAATCAAAATTTCAAACAGAGACTTTAAGTATTCTTTGTTTTCCTTCTCTTCAAGGGTTAAAGGTAAAATGTCTTCATCCTGTTCGTCGCCTACCACTTCTGCACTGGGATTCTGAGCATTGCTATTGTTTGTTTCTTTATGTTTCTGTTCCTGTTCAGAAGTTTCATCAACTGAAAAACATGAGAGTTAATTTTATAAACAGACTAATAAAGAACTATATGAAACAAAAATATTTACTTTTTTGATTGGCTAAAATCCACACTCATTCCACATTCACAGGGCATCTACTGGACCAGAGAGTATGATATAGAGATTAAAATAAATATACTAGTGGGAGAAACAAACACTGTAAACACATTTTATTCCCATACATAAACAACAAATTTTTTATAATCTTAACAAGGCATTTCACGTATTATTCAAAATAATGACATGTCATTCAGGCCCTCAAAAACCAAACGTGAAGAGAAGATTTACTGAGGACATTGTGCTTAGCATTTTCAGCCATATGGTATCAATCCCACTTGACAAATAAGGACAGTAAATAATGTCTCAGAACATAAATGCAATTAGAAGGATAGAAGTGAAATCAAATCTAAGTTTGTCTGGCTCCAAAGTCCATACACTTTTATACAGGACATGAAACAGCCATACAAACCATTGTAACACAGATTCATGTAACGTTTAGAGTGATTATTAGAAATTTTAGCCTACACTCCGTATTTGGATAGAAAAGTGAGGCTCTACAGGTCAAATGTCCTGCTTAGTTATACAGATCAGTGGTGCCTACAGGAAAAGGATCCAAATTAAAAGAATCACAGTTAGAACCTAATCCTTAAAACTAAAATTAGAGAGGGCCACCAAATCAGTATAGTATTAATTGAGTGTTATGGTTTATTTCTGGATGTCCCCAAAGCCTCATTCGGGGTTTTGGGGGAGATGACTGGATCACAGGGGCATGATACTCATCAATGGACTACACCACTGATGAGTTTATAGCTAAATGTGATGTTGAGAGGTGAAGCTTGGAAGAGGTAAGTCACTGGGGTCATGGTTTAGAAGAGTTATCTCCCTCCCTCTTCCCTTGATCTTGTTCTGCTTCACTACCATGTCATAAGCAAGTCTTGTCTGCCAGGCTGCCTTGGATCCAGCTGACTATGGACTGAAACCTCTACAAATTTTAGGCTACAGCTTATAATTGTGGGTGTTAGACATTGTGTTTCAGCAATGAGAAAGTAACTAAGATATCGGGGGAGGGAGGCAAAAAATTCAGAACAGAGAAGTTATAGTTGATAATGACATGGATAAGGAAGACATGAATAGGCAGAATGCTATTAGCAACAGCAGTCCAATAAAGCAGCAAATGGGAGAGGCAGGTTGTCTAAGTATTAAAGTTGTCTGACTAAACCCCGCATAAGCTATGTTTCCAGGGATCCCATGCCTTTCAGAGCTTCACCAGAGTTTCAGCAAGGGCAGGGAGCACACTTCCTTATCCCTCCTTAGCTCCTGCTGGCATTTATGTTCATCATATACCACAAAGTGGTACTCTGTGCTTGGTAGGTTTTCCCAGGCCAGAAAGCAAGAGGTTATTCTGGACACGGCCTGCCAGTCTTACTCCCTCCTTCCTATCTTTCCTTTGTCCTCCATTACTTATCCACTTCCAATTAACAAGTACTAATTCTACTCTTTTTTTTTTTAGAAAGATGTCACTAAAGACAAAGCACAGAAAATGAAAAGCCAATCCCAATCTTTTTGGACATCTTTCCATGTGTAGGTCATCTATTTACAAGTTCCCTGAGTCTTGTTCTTCATGGCTGCAGTGTTACCTTTCTTACTCTAATAAAGTGATCTATTGTAACACGGACCTGACATTTATGTCACAGTGGTACCCTGAGTCTTCCCATGATTCTGACTGCGAACTGAACTGAATGCAAACCAAATCAAATTCATCGGTTAGATTCAATGTTGAATGGGGAAGTTTGATTCGGTTCTTGTCCAGTTCAGTTTGCAACAGAATTATGGAGAATTGAGTTCATGAACCGAGGTACCCCTATACCTTTCAACTGTTATGACTGCTAACAGCTTACAGCCCTGCAAGTTCTGCAATTCCCTCTGGGTTTACTTTCTAAGATCACTGGCTATAAGAAACTCCAATACCATCAAAATGAGCATAGTTTCCCCTGTTTAGCACCCTGTTTCATGCCACTCCACTTTTGTATTGAGGACCTTTCCCTTCTTTCTTTGCTTAAGTCCTTATCTCATCCATAAAAGGGGAGCTAGCATTCTTTATCAAAGAGCTATTATAAATAATTAATTAATATTAAATAAGGCAGGATGATGTAGCATCAGTAAAAGGTTATGTTAATAATAAAGACAGCAAAACAAGAGGAGATACAGGAGGAATACAAGTAATAATTGACAAGAAGAAAAACAACTTCTAGCCCTCATCCTTCAGTGACACAGCCCAGCATCAGGACCTACAAAGGCTATTGTGATCACTATGCCCAATGTGCCAAGTGCCCCACAGCTTTTATCCTTAAATATTCACCTAGGTCCTATATCCCAAGTGGGGTGGACAGAGATGTAATGCCTACCCTTACTGCTGTCCTTCCTTCTCTATACTGGGGCAGTCTGTGTGCCTGCTGTACCTATCACACTGAGAGCATATAGAAGCGAGGGGTGACCTTTTTGAGGCCTGCACATGACACAATGTGTGGCACAGCAGCACTCAAAAAAGACAAGCCAAATTAAGACTTTAGTCTCAGACTAATTCCAGATCACAGGACAAAAGCCAACCGCACTCTAACATTCATTCTTAAGGTAGTTTTTGGACATGAAACATATTTATTTGTCCTTACCAGGTCAAGGCCTTTTTAAAAGGCATTCAGAAGCTGAGTCATTAACACTATCACTTACTTTTTTTCTGTTTCAGTGTCCTGATTTCATCTTCACTCTAAACAACAAGGAAAAAAACCTTTTAAGAAAACAGATCTCTAATATATCATCTTAGACTCACAAATAAAAAACCTATTTAGAGCTAAATTTTATCCTTCAAGAGCATATATTCTTTATATAGAATACTTTTTTCAGATAGACTATGGGAAAATTAGAATAATAATTTGCTAATGATGCCTAGATTACCTAAATCCTGGAGGGGAAAGAATACACTACTTAACGTTTTCTAGCTAAATCATTCTAACTTTGGGTTATAGGTGTTTACGGGATAATAAAATGCACAAAAGCCCACCATGACACATGGGATCAAATTCAAGAGGATGTAAATCATCTTCCTTCCCAACATAGCCCTGCAGATACTACATAAGCAGGAGGATCTGAATCACAGAAACTAACATAAAAATGGTGAGAAATCCCTGCAAAGCAGAAGGAAACAGAATGCCAGCATGGAAATGAATGCACTGCATAGTGTATGCACTGATAACCTACCCACAGGGTTAGACTGAGAAAGAACTTTACAGCTATACCTTTCCTCTCCCTCCAACACTCTATGATGCTTAGATCATAACCTACCCCATTCCTACCCTGTAGCAGGTGAGTAGTAGTTCTGGTAACAGCTGAAGAAAGCAGGGTACCTGCTGGACAGTTCTGATAACAGAAAACATCAACCTATCACACTGAATACTATCAACCTAGTACTTCCCTCATTATCTTGTGTGCTACACAGTTCCAAAGACAGCAAAATGCATGAGTGCCTGCTGTGAAGTTATCTGAGGTTCCCTGATGGGCAGGGTACAGGGAAATGACAGCTATAGGACAGGAAGCAATTGAACTCCTCATTCCTGGTACCTATTACTAAGAACAGAGCTGATATGGAACACTTTTGTGTGCTGGCATCTAGCTGTAAGCAGTCTGTGAAAAGTAGAAATAAATAGAAGAAATGGAAACTGATGATTTCTCAGATTTAAAAGATGTTATTAAGATCTAGGGCTGGGAATGTAGCCCTGTGGTACAGCACTTGCCTAGCATGTGTCATGCCCCTAGTTTGATTTCTAGCATGGAAACAAAGGTAAATATTACAATAAAAATAAAAGATTAAGTCCTCAGACATACAATGGTCAAGAGGTTGGATTAAAAATAATTCAATCTAGATACAGAATTTTAAATGCTAAATATAAAGAAAAAACTGTAAAAATGTTGATGGAGAAAAACAGATTACCCAGAAGGAGTAAGAATCAAATTGGCACCTAGATTAAAAGATGCAAAGAAACTAGAAAGGACATCTTATAGGTTGTAGGTATCTTCTATGTATCACTTAGTAACATTTTAAAATGTAAAATGGTTTTAAGAAAATAAATCCATGTCTGGAAATTAAAAACAAAAGTTAATTCTACATTAAACAAATGGACTATTACAAAATACCAGCCATCCAAACATAACAGAGGGTGCCAAACACATACTCCTTACTTTTCTAATGTAAATTTTTACTTCAGTGTAATAGTAGCCAGCTGTGTGTCTCTCTGTACCTTTCCCTGAGGATACAGGAAGCAAGCTTTGCATTTACTCATTTGGTACAACAAAAGGCAAGGGGTGTCAAACCAGGATTTACATTCATATTATGCTTGTGAAATAGTTTTTGCGTATGTTTACCCAAGCATCACAGAGGATATAATACACCCACACCACTCTAGGACTGGTTTTTAAAAAACTATTCTTTTGATTTTTCTGGTAGAGTGGTCCTATTCCATACAATGGCACATGAAAAACCAGATTTGCAAGTTTGGGAGGAGGTCAAAAGTGAATCATCAGATTATTCATGCATGGATAAGATGATCCGTTATGGTAAAATACATGGTTATATAACAGAAGAGTATATGGGGGGATGATGGTGATGAGGCTGATGACGATGACAACTTTGATGCTGGCCATGTGAGCCAAAGTTCCTGTGACAGTGAAACAGTGCAAGAATTGACTGATACAGATACAGGAAATTCAAACCTCCTTGATTTAGATGATGAAGAAAACAGCAATGTGAGTACACATTTGACTAGTTGAAATGTGAAATGATCATGCAACCAAATGGAACAATCCAATGGTAAAACTAGGTCTGAAATTATATTATAATGAGGGTCACAGCAGGGGTGAAACATGTTGAACAGAATGCTAGCACTGCCATTCAGTGTTGGAAATGGTAACAGACAAAATGCTACAAGATGTTGTGAAATACAGAGGCAGAAATGCAAGTAAAACATTGTATATACACCAATAGCTATATTCAAAAATGCATTTATTATGACATCTCACTAGCTGAACTGAAAGCATTCATAGGTCTGCTGTACTCATCAGGGACTGCTCATGGTAATCACAGGAATGGAAAAGACTTATGGAAGGGCACTGGGTCAAAATATGGCATAAAAATTCATGTTATTATGCTTTCAATTTAGACATTTATCTTGGAACTCAGCCATCAGGTCCTTATTCATATAGTAATAAACTGAATGATGTTGTGAACAGATTTGCTGCTTCCCATCTCCCAACTAATCAGAATGTGACATTTGACAACTGGCTCACCAGTTTCCAACTGATGTTACATTTGCTAAGTGAGTACAAGTTGACCAGCCCAGGAACTGTAAGCAGGAGCAAAGCAGAAATTCTAAATGAAATGTTGCAATTTCAAAACAGAGAACTGTACAGTACTACCTTTGGATTTCAGGAAGATTTACACTGGCCTCGTATATGACAAAGAAAAACAAATTGATACTGCTGATGTCAACATTGCACCATGATGGAAATAATGATAAGGAAACCTCAACAAAATGGAAGGCTGAGATGGAAACTTTCTACAACAAAACCAAAGGCAGAGTAGATGTTGTTGATGAGTTAGTTATACAGCAACTATGATGTCACTTGAAAAACAAAGCACTGGCCAATGGTTGTGTTTTACTTTATCCTAAACATGTGTGGCATAAATAGTTTGACAGCTTACAAAGAAAGTAACAAGAGCAAAATACCACGGAGGAATTCTTTTGCAGCAGAGGAAAAACTACACAAAAAAATTGTGGACCACACTGTTGAGGTGACAGAACAGGCAGGCAAAAGCATCCCAAAGACCTACAACAGCAATAGGAGAACCAAAAAGGATATCAACTATGTTCTACAAGAAAGGACAGGAAAACAAAACATATGTGCTATCAGTGTGATAGTGTACAGAACATGCAATTTTTATGTGTAAAGACTGTCTCAGATGTGATAATTGAAGTAAAAATTCTTTTTATGTAGAGGTCTCAATATTTTCATTGTAGTTGATATAGGAATTTCTCTTGGTTTTTTTCAGACTTTCAACACCAAAAACCAATCCATGTTGAAAATTTTTATGCTTTTTTATAAGCACTCAATAAATATCAAAAATGCAATACTTTATTTTTGTGATCTTTTTCCTGTTAAGCACTCACTAATATAATACAAAAAAATTAAAAGTAACAATTCATCAAGAGGAATATTCTAAAGAATAAACATGAGTGTGACATTCTCAAGTTTATGCCATGTAATGACAAAAAGTGTGTTAGTACTCCACTGCTACGAGCTAGGAAGTGAAATTACTGCATCTCTAACCCAGCTATTAATATACACAAACAGGAGCTGAGCCTACTGTGGTGGCACACTCTGGGAGTCTGGGGCAGAAGAACTGCCAAGTTTTAGCTCAACTTGGCTAACAATGATTTAGTAAGACCCTGACTCAAAAAAAAGGATTGGGAATGTGGCTCAGCATGAAAAACCTAGGGTTCAATCCTTAGTACTACCCCAACACAATCACTGAAGATAAACATTTTAGATAGTAGAAAAAAATCCTCCAAATCAAGAAGAAATCAATAAAAGAGCTCACAAGTATAGCAATCATTGGTTCTTTGAAAAGATAAAATCACTGACTCTTTGAAAAGATGGTTAAAATAATTTGGGAACAGCAAAACCCAACCAATTAACAGTCTGAGATAAAGAGTATTAACTTTTGGCAATGAAAGAGAAATCCAAGGAATTAGAATAGCATCAAAATCAACATCACCTACTTCAAACCTCTGATGGCTTTACTAAGTCCTAAGTCCTATCTAACTTTCAAGAGCAGATAGTATCTACATTATACAAACTGTTCTAGAAAAACTAATAGAACAAAAAAAATAGGGAATGGTATTCAACTCAGCTGTGAAGCCAACAGAATCTTCATATCAAAACTAGATTAAGGCAAGTACATAAAACAAAACACAAAATCCTAAATACTGACCAACCAAATCATTACATGAAAATACTAACTCCATTACAATCAATTAGATTTCATAAGAGAAATGCAAAGATGGTTTGACATCAGAAAATCCATCAATGTCACTCACTGAAGAATGAAAAAACTAAACTTTTCTACTTGATAGGTTCAAAAAAAGCATTTGATGAGTTTAGTAAGTTCTAATAAAAATCCTGAATATAGGACTAGAAGAGAATTCCCTAAATTTGATAAACAGCAAAGATTGTATGTAAAGGGGAAAAGCAATGTGACATCACTAGAGCTATTTAACATAGTCCTAGGAATAGTAACTAAACAGTAAGAGAAAAAACTAAAAAGAACTGGAAAAAGACAATTATCTTATTTGTACATGACACAATCAGCTGCACAGAAAACTCAACAGACTATTAGGATTAATAATTTTAAAAGTTCATCAAAAATTTTTGGGAACAATCTCAACCAGAATTTATGTTCTATACCAATAGGAACCATAATGTACTTACAAAGTAATCAAAGAAAGTATACATTCACTGTGGTGGATGAACTAATGGTCAACACTCAGCTGAACTGAATCAGCATGGTGCTTGGCGTGGATGGTCCATCTGAGGATTGTTGCCAACAGCATAAAAACAGAACTGGAGGGGAAGATGGTGTGCTACTGATTCTCCTGGAGAAGCCTGTCACACTGGCTTTCCCAATATGAACTCAGCTGTTCTCATTATCAGAGGAGCTTAGGTCCTCACTGTTGCTGAGGACCAGAGGGAGCTGGTCATTACTTTGAGCATTGCTTCCTGGCTCTAGTGCAGATCCCTCAGCCTGCTGGCATAGATCCTTCACCCTCCTGGAGCAGACTTTCTAGCTTCCACCACTGGCCTTTGAGCCTTTCCAGTGCAGATCCTTGATACAGACTTGCATGAGATATTGTTGTGGCCTCTGACTGGTGGAGGACACTGCCTTGGGATCCAGGCCCTCAGCTGGATTCTTTAGGTCTCTAGTGCATGGACAGATTTATTGCACTCTTCTATATTTGCCTCTTTGGGTGAATATTATAAAATAATCCTACAAATTATGTGTCCTATATTGTATCTTTTCTCTTATAAACTTCTGACTACAATATTCACCCATAAGAGCTTCAATTAACCCCATCCCTTCAACAGAGTGCTGGGGGGTGTGTAGCTCAGCTTAGCATGTGCAAAGCTCTGGTTTCAATCCCTAGGAGCATTACCACCACTAACATCATCAAAAAAATAAATAAATAAATAAAATCCAAGTTTGTTTGTTGCAAAAAGTATTAATAACCTCTCCAAAGAACCAGTATTTAGGTTTGTCAATGATTACTATTATTTCACTGTTATTTTATTGAGTTTTTAAATTAATGGATGAGACTAATATAATAAAGATGTCTATTCAAAGTATTATACTGAAAATTACACATTTCTAGGATACCTTGACAAAAGGATTCTCAAATTAATATGGAGGAATAAAGGTTCACAAACAGCTAAGAATGGTTTGATAAAGAAAAGTTAAATAATCACTATTTGAAAATAAGATTAAGTTACAAAGCCATGGTAGTAAAATCAGGGTGGAACAGAAGTAAACACAGAAATAATTCCATGGACCAGATCCAGAAACAGCCTTGCATTAAACTCAGCATATGACAGAACTGGCATTTTATACCAGTGGAAGAGAGGATGAATTGACTAACAGACTACTATAATGGTTTGGATTTTTGGTCATTGAGGGTATGCTTTTGAAGTGGATTTTGGAGTCCCAACCCCTTTCTCTTTTGGCTTCCCAAAAAAGTTGTCATGAGGTGAGCAGCTTTCTCAACTATGTGCTCCCCACCATGATGTACTACTGCCTCAATACAGGCTCAAAGTCAGAGCCAAATGACCATGGACTGTAACCTCTGAAACCATGAACCAAAATAAACCTTTTCTCTTTTTAAGTTGACCTGATATCTTTAACATATACCTTCCAGGCATTTGTTATAGTCATGGGAAGCTGACCAACCCAACCATGCTGGAAAAACTAGTTTTCTATAAAAAAAAAAAAAAAAGTTAAATTCCTATTGGATACCATACATTCAAAGTCCAAATGGATCAAAGATCTAAATATGAAAGTTAATAGAAGAAAACAAAATGAAAGTTAAATAAACATTACTTTAAAAAAGCACACAACAGGTAGAATGATTTGACATATACCAAACACAGTAATGTGTATACCAATAGGTAGAGAAAGAATGCTAATGGTAATAGTGGATGAAGGCAAAATAGTATAACAATGTAAGGGTGTTGCCAGTGGTAATGAGAACAGAAGCCATGCTGATTTTGTTCCCACCTAAGGTCAATAAAAAACAGGTAGATTTGCATCATCAGAACTGAAAGATATCAAAGATATATAAAAAAACATGTATAAATCATGCCATATTTAAAGGTTTTAAGCCTTTTTCTAAATCTCGTCAGGGTCAGGAATGTAGCTTGGTGGTACAGCACCTGCCTCGCAAGCTCAAGGCCCTGAGTTTGATTCCTGTCCTCCCCCCAGAAAAAGTAAATCTTGTTAACACTTAACAGTGACAGAATCCTTATCTCTGAAACTATCCATATCAACTTCTACACTTTCCTTTTCTTTATCTCTTTGTGAATTCTGGAACCATACCTCAGCTTTATGTTTCTTATTAGCGAAGCAAAGGTGGCCCTTCCTCTACTGCCATCCAACTCCAAGAAAGGAATGAGCTGGTGGCCTGTAATCAACAGCATGCTTTGACCTAAACAGTGAGTATCAGCTGTTCTCATCATCAGAAGAGCTCAGGTCCTCACTGTTGCTGAGGATGGCTGCAGTTCTGTGAGGGGTAGTATTAACTGGCTAAATCTAAAGGAGATTTTTTTAACTTAAATAATAATAAAACAGGCTAATCATCTTATACCCAGGTTACTCACTAATCACAATATTTATTTCCCATTATGCTACTTTTGAAATACAGAATTAGTTATATCAATTTTTAACATAAATGTCCCTATATTTAATTTCGCAGTATTATACAGAAGAGGGAAAATTGAAAGTACAGACATACCAATTCTTTTATTCGTTTTCTGTGTCTACTATGTGGATTGTTCAAATGACTGGTAAGATCAAATATTGTTGGTATTGCATTATCTCGAAGAACAGTCCTATAAGGACTCTGAAAAAGAAAAATGTGTTAATTCAGAGATGATCTTTCAGAAAAAAAAATTCTACATTAATGATTTTTCCAGTTCTTCTTCATCTATGGCTCTAAATTATACAGACATCAATTTAGGTCAGTCTTGCTATTTTTTGCATTTACCTTGCTGGCAGTCTTAATGTTATAAATGAAGGAGCTGAACTGATGGTAGATATATGTATTTTGAATTCTGCATATGTATTTCTAATTCAGCCTCCCAGGAACTTGATCTGTTCTGTCCTTTCATGAGCTCAAATCTATAGGACACAAAACTCTCCCAAATAACCTATACTCTTACGTGTTTTGTAGCAATGCTTCCCTCCTTACCTGTTCACTCCACTTTTGTTACTGAGAAATATCAAGGCACAGTAATAATAATATTGCACTGGACAAAAGAAACCTAAGAACTAGTCCAAACTCTACCAATGAACTCCCTAATAGATACGAGATAAATTGTTTTTCCTTTTTTGGACTCCAGTTTCCTCTTCTACATGAGACTTAGGTATCGACTGAATCAACATTTCCCAAAATGAAATTATTTACATACTAATGATCATAGTGCTTGCCCTTTCAGTTATACTAGCATCTGTACTTTAACAATAACCTGTTTGCTGCTTTAGTTATCATTGTCTTATGCAATAAAAACTAAAGAATAGTACCTTTGGATGGGCTAGGTATATTTTTAACACATTACAAAACTGCTAGGATAAAAATTGATTCATATATCACTTGAAATCATTTCCTACCACAAGTGATGTATCTAGTTATATTTTTGCAACACTAAACCAGGTATTTTTAAATTCCCTTTAGTTTCAATGATTTTATCATTGAAGGATGGGGATGGTCATTCTCTATCCTATTTCCTGTTAACCTAATCCAACCTAGCCAGAAGCTGTATCAATATTTAGCAGATGGTAAGTCTTTCACAGCCAGTTCAGTGTTACAAGAAGTTTAAACGAGTAACAGATGATCAACTGCTATTATACTCCCCCAGCTAGTCCAAAGCAACAGTGATTGACTTCTCCTTGTTGCAATGAAAAAGCAAAACATACTTCATTTAAAAAAGCTACCTTAGAAGCAGTGATTGTTTCAAAGAATATGCCAAACAAAAACAACAACCCCTCTTAATTTTTTTCACCCAGGAAAGCAGGCTGGGAAACTGAAATTATGAAAAAAACATAACTAAAAAGTACATACTATCTTGACTTTTATCCAAGGAGTTGCTAATTGGGAAGAATTCCTACTCAGAGTCAATATTTTCTAGTTCAATTGCAAGCATCATAGAAAACACAAAGAAGGAAATCTGATTTCCTTTTTTTTAAGTCACTAAACCCAAGGCCTTTGCATTGAGCACAACGCCAACACTGCCTCCTACTTTAAAACTTTTTAAAATTTTGAGACAGGGTCCCGCTAAGTCATTAAGTTGCCCAGGCTGTGCCTGAACTTATCATCCTCCTGCTTCAGCCCCGTAGAATGCTGGGATTACAGGCATGCACCACCATCCCCAGCTAAAATGTTTCTCAATGACACTCAGCTTCTAGTGTTGGACTAGTGATCCTGAGTCTACCAGTGAGTTTGAATCAGAGACACAATTATTGAAGGAAGCAAAACCTATGATATTCTAAGCTTCCAATCTTTCCCACTGAGCCAAAATCTCAAAAATAAACAAACATCCACACACAGTGAACTCTTCATATCTTAGCAATTACTAAGCAAGGAGAGGGATAAAGCATTTTAATGAACTTTAAAAATTCTAATTTGCTATTTTATAGCAAATTAAGGAAAGATCAAATAGCAGAATATGAATGAAAAATGTGTTATTTTATAAATAATCTTAAGCATGTGCACCAAAATGGTTACATCCAATTTTCATAGGAATGATTTTAACTCAGGATCAAGATTTAATCTTTAACTGCTGATTTAAGGTTTGAGTAAACAGTATTTATCTTATTCTAGCATCGAAGATAACAAAATATTCACCTTTGGCCAAACTAGTCATGAATGTTTATTAATGAAATCTTAAATGCTAAACTAATGAAACCAAAAACTTTACTAAATACTGGATCTAGATACCAGATAATTCAGCTTTTAACATCTAATCTTCTTTTGATATTTAATCTTATATATAAGTAATATGTTTTCATATGTGTTCATTTATTTGAGATTGAAGAATCATTTGGAAATTTAAAAAAACTAGTTCATCTTTCTGTTCTATCCTCTGATTAAACAAGAATACAAGGGTGAACTAGATTTCAAATTTCTCACATTAATTTGGTTGCAAGTATCTAATCAAAAGACTGTGACTGTAATAAAAAGGCAAAAAATGCATATGGTTTATTTAGAATAATAATTTGGGATATTTTTACTTAAGGTCAAGAGCATAAAAGTAGTTTGCCTTTTAAATCTATGAAACCTCTTCTTTTGGTTGATTATTACTACACTCTTAACAAAGCAAGGCAAAAAATATCCCTCAAATATTCGTGATTAAACTGTTGAACCGGAATTGGCTCACCTCCCAATGACTTCACAAGTATCTGCTTCAATTAATTTTGAGAAATAAAATAACCCAATCATTCTTTAGTTTTCTGATGCCTCTGCAAAATGTATCTGAAAAAAATATCAAAATAAATTGCTGCATAACAATAGATAGTGTACCTTCAAATCAAGTTTATATCTATTCCAATATCTAAGATGAAAGATAAAGTGCATCTAAACAAGACTACTATATATTATTTGTTTAACAAAACTTTGTTCCTTACTAGTTATTAATGTTTCACTTTTGCTTCATTTCAACCAAATCTGTCCTATTTGTGCCTTTTATGAATCACAGCAATAACACAATCCTAGATAGTTAAAAATCTTAAGATCTCAGAAATTATCTGATCTGATCTGCTCATTAGAAACTGGGGCCCAGAAAGGGAAAGGTCTAGTCATGAAACTGCAAATTATTGATAGAGATGTTTTTTCACATTACCTGTACTTGTTTCTGGTTGCATCTAGCACATAAAAATTAAATGTTGGCTCTAACAGTAAATTCAAAAACATGAAAACTAAAAGCATCACTCCTAGATGAAGAAAGATGTCACTCATAAAAAACCTCCAGAGAAACTGCTCGAAATAAAAACACCAATATTATCTTAAACATACACCGTAATATTCATCTAGAAGTTTCTAGAAGTTTAAATACAGTTACTGCTGGTGAGGAGGAATAAAGCATCAGGAATGGGGGTGGAGGTAAAAGAAAAAAATTCAGTATTTTAAGAACAAAACAGGTACTATTTGAGTGATTTTTCTTCATAAAGTGGCGGGATATGGGAACAGCTTCCAATTAGTAAATATTTACATTACTTTCCCAAGCAGACAGAGTAAGAGAAAATCCAAACGCTTTTATTACTTACAGTTCTACAGATCATAGAGGTCTCAAAGTGTTTGGCACACAATCGATAATGTTTATTTAGTTGATCAGGTGTTTTATCTTCTAAGTCTGCTCTCCTACAATTCTCCACCCACTTCTGGCATCTATAAGAAAACCCAAAATACAATCATGGAATATGAGCTTAACATTTAAATTTTAGCATTTGGTTTTAAGGCAAATATATATGGATTCCTGCTCTTGTCTCCTAGAACATAATTTGGAGAAGTTGCTTAATAACAAAATGACAGAAGAGACCTTAAAAATCACTTAGTATAAATTCTTCATTAAAGACATAGCAAGTAACTTGCTTAGTCAGGTTCAAAACCAGCAGCAAAACTACAATTTAAATCTGGGTCTTCCAACCCCTAGGACATCCTAGCACCAGAGAGGACTCAACCATAAGCACTACAAGTGAAAAGTCGAACAATCCACAAGGTCAACAGCATAAAATTCCCTTTGGTATTTCAACTTAAGCAAATGAAACAACATGTTGCAGAAAATTTTCAGGTAAAAGTTCCATAAGTTAAGAGTTTTTTGCAGAAGCATGAAGGCTGCACTCATTTGCCTTATTATGAGCATGCTTTATTATCTACAATGATACACACAAACTAGACTGCAAGCTCCATGAATATATGGAATGTGTCTACACAATCTAATACACAGAAAATGTTTAAAATATGAACAAGATAAAAAGTCCATATCCTCTTGGTAAAGATTTACAGAAAAACAAATAATAATTCTTACTAAGCACTTATTATAAGCCAGACACTATTCTAAGTCTTGTCCAAAGGTATTATTATTATCCCTCTTGTGCATATGTACTTCCAAGGAATAGAAATGTTAACTAATTTGCTAAAGGCCACAACTACATCTTTTCCTCATTCCAACTTTCTAAGAATAAAATTCTGTCATCAATAAAAAGTATCACAAATCTGAAAACATAGTCATGTTATAATTACATAATACCATTTTCTTGTATCTTACCACCCCACACCCTGACACTTTATTCCCTTCACTCTAAATGTGTAAAATCTCAACACATTGATTTCAAACCTAAAGTAAAATCACAAAACTAAATTGTGCAGCGTTTTATTCAACCAAGTATTATAACTCAGTAATGATACCTAAATTGCCCATAATTTTTTTGCACAGTTGTACATCTTGATTACAAACATTTCCTGTTTCAAAATCTAAATACTAAATATAAAAACTCTCACTATAAAACAATATTCCATCTTGCTACCATTGAATTCGTTTTTTAATTCTGAATCTCTGGACTCCTTGCACATAGGACACTACTGTCCATATTATTATTAATAAGCTGAAACAGGTTTCTGATACTAATAGTATCTTTACCAGAGACTATGGGCAGGGTAATGGGAAATTATTGTTTCACGGTTAGAGTTTTTGCTTGGCATATGGAAAACTTTTGAAAATAGTGGTAAGAGGGGGCACAATGTTATTAATGTATCTAATACCGCTGAACTGTGCACTTAAAAATGGTTTAAATGGGGCTGGGGTATAGCTCAGTGGTAGAGCATGCTACCTGGCATGCACAAGGGTCTGAGTTTAATCTCTGGAATGATAAAAAAAAAAATACTGTAAATGGTCAAAATGACCAATTTTGTCATATATACTTTATCAAAAGAAACTACTGAATTGTACACTTTAAATGGGTGAATTTTATGGTATGTGCATTATATCTCAATAAGGATGTTTTAATAAGGGCTCTTAAAATTCTCAAAGGGGACAATGATCTCCCCCGCAAAACACAAAAAAGTTTAAAAGCCACTCTGAAGGGAATTCCAGCAATTCAAGGGAGGTTAAACTAGATCTAAAAACTTGTTCCACATTTGAGATGTAAGTCCCAAGAGACAATACCTCTCTGAGTGTAATAATGTTCAGCTACACATGGACAGAAATGACTTGCATCCACTGATCAGTTATTCCCTATTCCCTCTTTCCTCCAGCCCCTGCCAACCACTAATCTTTCTCTCTATGGACCAACCTATTCTGGACGTTTCATATAGCATAAATGGGGAATCATATAATATATGATCTTTTGTATCTGACTTCTTTTGCTTAGGATGTATTAAGTTCACCCATTTTGTAGCATGCATTGGTACTGCATTCCTTTTTACTGTTGAATAATATTCCATTGTGTTCACATACATTTTGTTTATCCATTCATGTACTGACCAATGTTTGGATTGTTTCTACCTTACTGCGAGTTATGCTGCTGACAACATGCATTGTACATTTGTTTTCATTTGAGTACCAGTTTGCAATTCTTTTGGATATATTTCTAGGACTGGAATAACCATTAACTACTGTGGTTTTTATTTGAACTTCTCTAATAATGAGTATGTTAGCCATCTGTATCTCTTCTTTGGAGAAATACCTATTCAAGTCCTTTACCCATTTTCAGGGGCTGGGGCTATAACTCAGTGGCACAGCACCTGCCTGGCAAGTGCGAGGTCGTGAGTTCAATTCTTGGTACCAAAAAACAAAAAACAAAAAACCTTTATCCATTTTGAGTTGTCTTTTTGTTGCTGACTTGTACAAGTTCTTCATATATTGTGGATACACACGCCCCATTAGTTGTACTATTTGCTAATATCTTCTTTCATTCCACTTTTTGGTAATGTTTTTTGATACACAAAAGCTTAACTCTGGATGTCCAACTTATCCATTTTATCTTTTATTGCATGTGTTTTGTTTTGTTTTGTCTTTTTGAGACAGGGTCTTACTATGCAGTTCAGGCTGGCCTTGAGCTCACTTTGTAGCCCAGGCTGGTCTCGAACTCAAAAGGATCCTCCTGTCTCCAGGGTGCTGGGACTACAGGCCATCACAGGCGTGTGCCACCATGCCCAGCAATTGCATGTGTTTCTAGTTTCACATCTAAGAATCTGCCAAATTCCATCATGACTTACGTCTGTTTTCTTCTAAGAGTTTAATAGTTATAATTTTTATACTTAAGTCATTTAAGTATTAGCCATTTTGAGCTTCTTTCTTTTTGCTTATTTCAGTATATGCTATCAAGACAGACACTTATTCTTCAACATCTATGAGTACTCTCAAACTTCATGTCTCAAATCAAATTTTTAACACCTCTCCATCAAAAGCTACTTTTCTCAGTCTTTCACATCTCAGTAAATACTCAGGTTAAACATCTCAGGAGTCAACCTTGACTCCTTTTTCTCTCAGGACTGACATCCAAGCCACTAGCAAATCTTACAGGACTCACCTTCAAACCTTATCTTAATGCAACAATTGACCACCTCCACCTCTACTAATCTGGATTACTGAAAAAGCTTTTACTTGATCTTCCTGGTTTCTCACCTTTGCTTCCTTTCAACTTAATAAGCGCTCAGTCATCCTGTTAAAGTAGGAATTTTTCTGTTCTAATTCATAAATCTCACTCAGAATAAATGCAAGAATGTTCTCCACGGACTATGATTTTCTGTGCAATCTGCCCCTCCACAAGCACCCTTTTTAGTCCCATCAGTAAGCATTCCTTGCCTTTGCACTATTTCCAGAGTCTGGAATGTTCTTCTCCAAGATAGCATGGCTGGATCCCTCGTCCACTTTAGTTCTCTGCTCAAGTTCACCTCCTTAGTGTGGCTTTCTCTGACCACTCTATTTAAAAGAGTAACTGTGACTCTCCTACTTACTCCTCTTCAACCTCTGCTTTATTTTTCTCTATGGTATTTGTCACTATTTGACACAATACTGTATATATTTTATTTGTCTATCTCCCCAACCTCTGCTAGAATGTATACTCCTTTGGGGTTAGGATGTTCGTTTGTTCATTTTATCCACCAGAACTCAGAACAATTCCTAGCACAGAGCAGGCCCTGGTTGAATGAGGAATAGCACACATCTGTCCCTCTTAATGGGTTTGTGCGCTTTCTACAAGCAATGACAGTATCAGTCACCTCTAAGTTACAAGCACTTAACATCAGTACTCGACACAGTAGGTATGCACTGCTTTTAAATGACTGAACAAGAAAGCCTGTCAAACTAACAGTCCTCACCCTATTACGCCCTAAATACAAGTCAGCTTGTGGGTTACCTCAAAGAAGAGGTTTCAAGTACCAATTCTCACGCTCCCACGTGTGTCCCCTGCGGTTCTCACAACCACCAAAGGATATGACAATGATTAACGGTCAAAGCCTGAACGTGAGCACTGAGCAATGACAAGTCCGAAGGAGGGGCTGGCTGCGGCCTGACCTGAGATCAAAGACGGCGGCGGGACTCCGACAGTCAGTGACAGGCACTGTCTTGGGGCCGGAGTGGCAAAGGGAAAGAAGGGCCCCAGTGAGCACGGCCAGAGTCCAAGTCCCTCTTTGACAGCTAAGAAAATTAAAGCCCAGAGAGGAGAACGCATTACCTGAGACCACACAGCAATCACCCAGGGCGCGCGCCC